CAGGTTACTGGTTTAGTAATTATTTATATGATTTATAAGCACATAAATCGTTAATAATATATTGTTAATGATGGTGGGTTTTTTGTCCGATAGGTGGATGCTTAGAGTAAAGCATTCAATTTAGTAAATCATTCAGTCGTGGTAAGAGATTTACAAGATTGCTTTGACGGCTAATCATGACATTAACGAATGAATACGTCTCAGACAAGCGAGTGCGCCATTTCTCAAAGAACATCTTTCCGACATAAGCGTTAACGACATCTCTACGGTAAACTCTGCCGTTTGGCGAGTGGAGAGGATGGCGTGTTCACCCATCCGACGATTCGATTCTCAATACGGGTACGATCTGTGATAGCCATTAATGGATAAACCCTCGTGATGATGTCGCAAATATGATCAAAGCTGCGTAACATTTCACTCACTCACTCAGGGATGAAAGTTCTGTTTGCTATGCAAACAAACGTCAAAAAACTTGTTATCTCTTTCCTGTTGACTCAGTGTTTCCATTGATTGCCGATAATTTTATTGATTCCGATTCGCACCAACTTCAATCTTTTTCACAGGGCGATAATCTCATATAAAGGGTTTTGTGTGAACATTACGAGGGCCGAGTGGGTGATGCATTGCTGTCATATTTACATTGCCGATCAGGAATATTTCTTCTTGAAAGATACAACTATAGTCTGTTGGCAAACTGTCTTTGTCAATTTTGTTCCACGTTTGTAATATTTTTCTTAGCTATTGCTGACAAGTCGGGTAACCTTTCGTATTGTCTAGGGAGGTTACACATCAAATACGATTGTGTGTGGCATTTGGGCTTACGTCTCCTGTGGGGGACCCTTCTCAATTAGAAAATGCGTTTCGTCCCACCGGAGTACGTTTTTGACATTTGAATCTAATTATGCTATTGTAACGGCCAGCTCCTCAATACTCATAAAAGACAGCCTCTTTCTCTGCTTTGCGATGCCTTCAGGTTTTCCAGTTTTGTTTTCGTTTCTATGAAACGTGTGTTTTCACATTAAGGAAAGAGCTCTTCGCTTTTATCTACCGACAACCTAAATGGATTAATATACTGCCATGAAAATAATTAGTTAGATGGGATATATCATGGATAGAGACGGAAGGCCGTGTTTTTAAACAAAGTCAATGAATCGTTGCGCACGCGCTACCGACGCTTGATTTGCACGTGCATGCCCAGCTTGACAATGCTTGTAAACATGGCTTGAAGTGTGGGATTTCCTCAGTCCATATGCTACCCCTCGGATCCTTCCGTGGATTTCCTGTTGCAAGCGTTAGCTCTTGGGAGGGACCTGGCCCCGGCGCGCGAGTACACGTGTGTTGTGAATTAAGTGTCGACCGTCAGGACAACTCTACTCGGAAGTAATTACTAGTTTTGATATTTCTGAAATATCACCATAATTAATTACATAATGACTCGGCGTGTCGAAACGATTGTGTCAAACAGACCGCACAATTTCCTGTTAGGGATCTTTTATAGTAATTGTATCTAGGCGCAATGAATTTCGTCCGCATTTTCAAAGCTTATTACGGACCTCCGAGACAATACATTTTCATATTTTCTGATTTTCATTATCAGTAATTTCAATAATGTCTTTACGTTCTCACATAAATGGTGAGAATAGCCAACATATTGTCTCTAGCATTGTCTTCAAGTAATGTATTTATATTAATAAATATCTCTTTATTAGTACTGATTTAACACACAACTACAAAAGTCGCAGCAGATAAAATCCGAATTTTAAAACAAAACTGTTTGTATTTTATTCGAATTTTCATGTTTAGAAATTCCGGAAAAATTGTTTGTAAAAAAACTTATTGTCTAATATATTACGAATAAAACGTATGTTTTAGTAACTATCAACTTGTATAAGAATACCATGACAAACCTGCAAGCAGAAATTTAATCAAAGCAAACATTACAGATTAAAAGATTTCCGTTTAAGGACTTTATTTATTCACGACGCAGACAAACTGGTTGTATTTCATGTAGATTTCCCTGTAATTGACAAGCGACACAATGACATTGTTTATTGATATGTCGGTTACATAGCTAATTCTCCTCGTCCACATGAGCGCCAGTCAAGAACAAATCTTCAGTCCGCGATAAATAAATAATAGGTATTGAATCCCGGCGACAGTGAAACTTGTCCGCAAAGCCGCAACGATACAATTGTTCCATGAGGGATAGGAGTGTTTTACACTTCACGCTAGGGAATCATATGTGAAGGGGGTTGGGTATAGGTATTTGGGGAGGGGGTAGGTAGTGAAGTAGGGTTTCTTCTTTTTCTTTTTTGTACGGGTCACTCGGTGCCTTTGTAGGAAAGGATAGATATAAAAAGCGTTTGAATTCCTCTAAGTCTTTGTGTGTGTTGATCTAATGAAACATCAAAGGATTATTCTGGAGTGGTGTGGCTTCTGTTTTTTATAACTATTCGTTTGTTAGCTATTGAGTTAATCTACACGGTGATGATAATCTGACATCGTATATTACCATTATTCATTCAGTTTGCCAGTCAGTCATACGAGAAACATCTACATTATTACCTTAAGTCTCAGAGTCCAGCGAAATATAAAACAAACAGGTGCTATCTATGCGATACTTAAAAAAATGAAACATGTTTCATTTTTATAAATTGTAATTTCAATGTGATAGTTCTCAAAATATAGCTTTAAATATTTATGTCATTTCAAAGTAAAACGTGGCCTGTGTTATGAACGTGCAATACGGTCAATGCAAGTGTAAAACCACTTTTGTAGCGGGCTACTTTGCTAATTATGTAGAAAAAGATATCAAATAAAATCCCATTATTTATTTAAAGTTTCTCAGTCATTCACAAGACTATTAACCTGTATCATTGTCGCGATCGTTTTGTCTGACCACGACTCAATTGATCCGTGTGCCTGTAAAGGAAGAAGCGCAACCAACAGACCAAACAAAACTACACAATACAACGACATGTTTACATCTTGTCAAATCCCATGTGTCTTTCCAAATTGTTCCATGTCTTGCCTTTGGATTTGTAATCAACAAAGCGATACTTTTCTATACCCCTGAGATGTGCCCCCCTCCCGTCAACCCTCGCAAACGCCACACCTGCACGTTTGTCACGGTTGGCAACGTAAGAGACAATGCAGAAGACGTCGTCAATGTCATCGTGCTGTCTTGACTTTCAGGAACTATTGTACATTTCATGCCGTCGGTGTTCCATTTCAGTGACCGTACCATCACAAAACAACTCTCAATATTCATTAGGTGTAATTGACTTTGCCGATGACTTATCCTCTTGGTATATAAAGTATTAATTTGAAACACACTTCATTGCTCTGAGCTTAACGGTAGGAAACGGTATGGATCTACCAAGGCAGGATATCTTCGTCGCGTCAAGCGTTGTAAGTAACTATGCTTGTCAGAGAGACCGTCTCAAATATTTATGTTCATTTCACAAGGAGATGTTTAGTGTTGATTGTTTAGTATAATATATACAATACCAAATTGTACATTACTCCACTTTTAACTTATGAATATTAACGTGCCCTTTTCATTGTTGTAAATTATTCAAACGTTCAAAACTGATGCCTGTTCTCAGTGATTGGCGTTCCACGTGCAATATTTATTTCCGAACATGACAACTGTTCTACTTTTTTCGGTGATTAGTGAATTATTAAGATAACTCAGGGGATGCATTAGATTTGGAAGGAAAATAATAATAATGTCAAACGATGTGACATTAATGCGTTCGTATTAATTCAGGAATTAGCTTCTTTTTCATCAACGTACAGCTGATCGTAGAGCGGACGTCATGTGTGATATATTTCACGTCAATCAGTGTCTATATCGGATGTGAAATCCCGTGCGCCCAACACGTGCACTGTTAACCTGATATGTACATGCAAATTATATCTTAATACGGTTAATGCGACCTCTTAGTAGCTTAACACCATCTGATCCAGCCCCTTGATATGTTTCTGTCGTGTTTGATATCTGATCTATGCGGACCATTTGACGGACTAATCATCACTTTGTTCCACGATGTGAAGTCGTGGTCCTTCCATGGAACATCCTCATCCCGCCCTCTGCGCCTAACACTTCTAGTACCGTTTTCCGTTAACGAACTGTCTTTTGTTTAGTTGGTGGGATTGTCGAACTAATAAGAATATGAAATATTAACAAGCACTTATAGTGATAATTGGCCTCTGAATAGTTTTCTGTTTATTTTTGTCTACACCAGGGATGAATCAGATACGTCAGCCAAAATGGTCAAAGTGTTTATTGACACACTGACGTCACGAGTTCTATTCCAGTCATGGTTTTCTCTGTGAACCCTTGAGGACATAATACAGTTACTACAGTTTTTTTCAAACATGAGATAAAAAAATAAGTAAAAAGGAACTGTTACATTTCAGTAATCTTATATGAAAATATTTATCAATTATAGAACAACAATCACTTTAAAGTAAATTTAAATGTAGATGATATGAATTAATAGCGTGTTCTTATGTTTAGTATGATCACAGATTTAAAACAAATCGATGAAGTACATTTGATAATATTTGATTTATTAAGTTTCAGTCTGTGTGAATAAATAACTATAGTTTCAAATACACTAGTTGGTTTAAATTTTAAAAAAACAATAGATAAATAATAAATAAGTAAATGAAAACAGCTTCAGCAACGTGGGAAATTCTTTAAGTTGAAATTAGTTAAATCTTGTGCGAACAGCATCAAAGATCTTTCCTAACATTAATTAGAGAGACAAAACGATTCTTCAATATTTTATATGTCTAGTTAGCAAGACGCCATTGTAACACACACAATCCCGTGTTAGAGAAATATCCAGTTGTCCCAGGCCGTGAGATCAAAGGCCACCGAGAATCAAATATGGTCTGATTGGTTTGGGTAATTTTTAAACCGAATCGTGAAGGAGGGAATGGTGGTGTTTTTTCATACCCAGCAAAGCCGCAAACTGGTCCGTACTTTCTTATAGCATAATCAAACAGAAAATGAGCAGTGGGAAATTTCTGTTGATCATGCTTAATTACTTATTGGGCATGCGTGCTGGGTACCCACGTGACTACCGTGCACACGGACAGGTGCAGAGGCATTCTATGGCATTCAATACAAAGCAATATTCGTTTCTTGTCCACTGCCATTTTCCCATTCTGACGGCGTAAGGGTAGAGACAGGCGGTATCTCAGTCGATATTGGCGGTGTGCTTGCTAAGCCGAGTCGCTGATAGGCTGGAGACGGAGGAGGGCGAAAAGTGACCGGTGTCGTTCAGGTCCCCGTTCGTTCCCTCTTTACTCATGAACGGCAAGCAGCACTCGACGGTGGGCCTGTCCCCGTCTCTCAGCCATGGCTCCCTCCCCACGGGGAGATACTCCCCTCCCTATCGACCCCCGGAACGTATGCGATGCATGACTGGTTCCACGGTACGTACAAGTCTTGCCTGCAACACGGTATGATTGTTCTTGTTAATCACCTTTATTAGCTATTCTATTCCTTTCGTCATTATTTGCCATGTTTCATATTTTATGAAGTGAGTTTATCTTTGCGAAAGGGAACGTGAGGCGATCATTTAGTCCGCGCTCCCCGACAGCAGATGTTATTGATGGTGTTCGTCCACTAACGACGGGTTGATGCATTGCTTTTTTCTTATGTGTTTTAGGGCAATTTCTTTGGAGGCTTGGATGATGGCTTGTTGGCGAGGGCGGAGGCATTGGCCGCCGTGGATATCCCCAAGTGTCCGTCAGCCCAGTTGATGAAATCGGATGGCTTGTACGGACACACCCCAGATCTGGCACCCCACCAGATGACCTCCTCACGACCTCAGATGTCTATGCACGCGCACACCACCCCGTTCGGATCCGGAGATTCCATGCTGGACCAGCTGACCGGCAACCCACCCGGAATGACCCTGGGCCCCGTCTCCATGCAGGAGCATCACCACCATAACAACCACGTGGTCAGCTCTCACTCCCACACACACCAGATGTACCCCCCGGTGTACACCCACCCCAACAGCATGAACACCCACCCCGGCCTCACGTCCCACCATGCGGCTATGCACCACCCCGTGCACGACACTGACTGTGACCCTCGGGAACTTGAAGCGTTTGCCGAGAGATTCAAACAGAGAAGAATAAAGCTGGGTGTGACTCAGGCTGACGTGGGGTCAGCTTTGGCCAACTTGAAGATCCCGGGGGTGGGGTGTTTGAGCCAAAGCACGATTTGCCGGTTCGAATCTCTTACTCTAAGCCACAATAACATGATCGCTCTCAAGCCCATTCTTCAGGCGTGGTTAGAAGAGGCAGAGAAGGCGGCCCGGGATAGAAAAGCTGAGGGGGAGATGATGGGTGGTGCCGACAAAAAGCGAAAGCGTACGTCAATTGCCGCACCCGAGAAAAGATCCCTCGAGGCGTACTTCGCTGTTCAGCCAAGGCCTTCAGGAGAAAAAATCGCTCAGATTGCTGAGAAGTTAGATTTGAAGAAAAACGTTGTTCGTGTGTGGTTTTGTAATCAAAGACAGAAACAGAAACGAATGAAGTTCTCCGCGGGAGGCCTTGTTCATCACTGAACTCAATTTCAGAGGCAGGGACTAGGCAATACTCACCATTCGGAGCGCCACCCCACCCCTGTTCTCCCCGACCCCAGGACTAGCGGTCGGTGGGGCAAGGCTGTGGGGAGGCACTGCCCTAGGTTCATGTGCAATGTGTTTCTCAGGACAGCTATACGCTCTCGCTTGTGCAAACGGCAAAACAGCGCACAGAGAGAAACGGCGAGTGCTTTTGTGACAATACTGACGAGAATCGTTTGGGATTCTCGTTTTTTGAACTATTCTGGTCCGAGCTTGATGTATATATACTACGTAAGTATGAGTGTTGACACTGTTGATTTTGTACTATAAATTATTATTTATGTTTGAGAAATTTATTTGTGAACTGTTTCTCACGAGGACTTTTTGAAGGTTGGTACCCCAACAGAACCACCATGCGGCATATTACTTATGTATAGACTCAATATTCACTGCATCACTGCATTTTTACAAATGTATGCTTTTTCTGTGTTATTTTGTCGGTTTATTCAGTTTTCATATATGGACATCTATAAGCCATGTTCTTACAAGCGAACAAAAATCATTCTGAATTTCAAAGCATTCTAAATCAAATGCGTCACTGCCATTGAAACGCAATACCGAGACCTCCCATCTAGAAACAGTGACGCCATTTTTGTTTTCTGTTTGTAGAACGTGTATCTCAGGAAGCCATGAAGTAAATATGTTTGTGGATTTTTAAAATCGTATTTCCATCATTCCCATGTGTCCTAAGACAGTAAAGCGTCTCCCTGTCGATGACGATGTAGTTGAAATTAACAACCATACATTATGAATCAATTCCCCACCAGACCGCAACTGCTCATGGCCTATCTGAATGGGCGTCAGTTAATATTTTTATCATCGTTTCCGCAACGCTGAAACTGATCCAGTTAACAGTCCTATGTCAATTTATTTAAAATGTATTCCTTGTCAGCATTATGCTGCCTTTCTGAAAAGTGACTTTATTTGGTTTGGAAAGTTTGATTTTGTATTTAGTTTAATATCAAATTATATCAATGTTTCAATTCGGAAAGCATATTTTATATAAACATGTCCCGACTTACACATTTACACATTGTTAAAAAGACGAATAAATCTGCTGTACGGGGTTCCGACCCCCAACATCAATGCATGTGTAAACAATGCTCAAAAATGGCCAGGTCTTGCTTCTGACAGTTCACAGGGGAATACCCTTCGAGTTAGGAGTCGCGTTAAGCTCTAGAATAGTAAGCCGCTTAGCATTCGGTAAGACCATCATTAGCGTTGTTTCCCAGTATTATTAGTATTAAAGGGATCATACTAGCCCTTCTGGTCAGGGAGATCGTATTTACGGTACTGTCATCTACAACAAATCTAACGTAACATCAAAACCGAACTGGTATTCAATGAACAGCTGAGTTATATTGACAATTTTCACTTTTTCCATTTTGGTTATTTTACTAAATCTTTTAACACAATTTTATGAGAGAAAAAATAGAAATTCGAAACAAAGGCATTAGTAAACGCGGTGTTATGTACTGACATATGTTTAAAAGCAATTGGAAACCCCTTAAAGCCATATTACAATTGATTGTATCAATTACGTTTTGTTAAAATGGCTATAAACGGACATCTGATAGGCCATACTCAGGCGATGTGTTGTGCTTGGGGGACATTGAGTGCATAATTACGGGGGTGATATTTGCTCGACGCACCCGGCTATGAAACCTGGCGGTGATGTGAGAACAAGACGGAGCCACCCTAGCTAGATTTCTCTCTCGGGGATCGGTAACCCGACATACACGTTTAGTAATTGTCCTCGTTTTATCACCGCTATTATTATCAAAGTTTTGACCTTTTGTTCATTGTGGCACCAAGGCCATCTGCGCGTCCTAATCGAATACAATCGATGTTGTACCCTCAGCCATACTTAAACACCGATTACTAATCAATTCTCTCGTGTATTTCTTTGAACCTTTTTATATGCTTTTGCTGACCAATATTGTCACGAGTCGATTCGACTTGTAATCGATATTACGTGTCCGACGCGAGATCACAAACAGATGACGATTTCAACATACGTCTCCCTGCTCAACAACGGCGCCGTTAAACAACTTCATAAAATATTTACCGCATCGACGGCTGTGGGGGGATAGACCAAATTCCATTACATTAGTCGCAGACTAATTTCTATGGCTTCCTTAGGTGCATGTGAGGAATTCCGACAGACATTATGCAATTTCATCTTCAATACCATCGTGCTGCTTTAGTGTTATATTTGCGTTGTCATTTTTTAAGTTATTTTTTCACAATTTTGTGGCAAGTTTTACTACACAGGGTCGCATGCAATAACGAACATGTAAAAATAGAAGCCATGTTTAAATGCGTTTTCCGTACAACGAATTTAGAATGAGTCCGAAAATGGCAAATTCTTATAAATAAGATTGTTTCTATCAAAATATGCTTTGCCATTTTAAAGGGAAAAGTCTGAATTGGCATGTGTCGTAATTGTGATTTGTGTTGTCTGCGAGCCTGTGTTTTGTCGCCTGATTTTGTAAGTTCCTAGCTAGCGACATCCTGTGAATTTACAATACTGTGTATGAATTTTACATATTTTTGTATGTTTTGAGGCCTATATTTGTATGTTATGCGTTCTCTCACTGCAAATCATGATAAAACAATTGATCTCTACCTGGATTTATTTGTCATTCTTTGATTTATTCAGATATTTAAAGTATCCAAAACCTCCTTCGTGCTGTTTAACAGATATGTTCTTCCCTGGAAAAAAACTCTTCAGAATTGGAAGGTTTTTTTTATCAGATTACTGTATCTAAACATAAAACGCCAATGCCAGAGAATTATCACTCTCGATAATCCGGCGAAAAATTCCTTGGGCGAAAACGGCAATATAGTGTTAAAACCAAACAATTTATTTGGTTACTATGGTACAAGAGTCGTATGATATGTAACCATTTGATAAGGATAATATGCTTTTTAGAGTACGCTATTGACGTGTGGGTATTGTACTACATTATAGAATAGTTAATTATTAATAGTACATTTTTTTATTTATTACGTGAGTAGATTGTAGATGCAACTGACGTCTCTTGACACAGATTGATGGAATATTCAAGTATCCAAACACCACTTTTAACATCAAAACGTTTAGTGACAAGGATAGATAGCTCCATAGGGAACAAGCGTCCAGTGAGTATCATTTTTAGAGTACAGCTAACGTCGGACTGAATAGAATGTGACGTAGGAAGTCTGTGCGGACCTGTTTGTATCGGTAATTATTCAAAGTGGTTTGAAAAATACCGTTATAGAGATTATATATAGGTACAAGTCTTTTACGTCTCACCCGTAGCTACCAAAACATATTGGTAATAGTTTCATATTTTCGCTCACACATATATACCATTTATTATGGAACTCACACACACATATTAAAGAAATTGAACTCACACACATATATTAAAGACATGGAACTCGCACATATATATTAAAGAAATGGAACTCGCACATATATATTAAAGAAATGGAACACACACATATATTAAAGAAATGGAACTCGCATATATATATTTAAGAAATGGAACACACACATATATATTAAAGAAATGGAACACACACACATATATTAAAGAAATGGAACTCGCACATATATATTAAAGAAATGGAACACACATATATTAAAGAAATGGAACTCGCATATATATATTTAAGAAATGGAACTCGCACATATATTAAAGAAATGGAACTCACACGTATATTAAAGAAATGGAACTCACACATATATTAAAGAAATGGAACACACACGTATATTAAAGAAATGGAACTCACACATATATTAAAGAAATGGAACTCACACATATATTAAAGAAATGGAACTCACACATATATTAAAGAAATGGAACACACACGTATATTAAAGAAATGGAACTCACACATATATTAAAGAAATGGAACACACACATATATTAAAGAAATGGAACTCACACATATATTAAAGAAATGGAACTCACACACATATTCACAGACTCCTGGAACTCACACACATTGAAGAAGTTTATTAAAGAAACGCAAGGAGGCCACCAGTCCATTACACACATGGGTTGAAACATTTGGGAGAGAGAGAGACTATCACATGCTAATTTAATCTACATTGTCTAAAAAACATTGCATGATATACGTACATTACAAACTGTGAACTGTACATAAATACATACAGTAGGTAATGGGTCTCATACAGTTTAAAAGTATATCAAAACGTGCAGGAATTGGACACAGAATATTGATAGAATTATTATATAGTTTTCAGATTGTGCGAATTGTTACATTTCAAGTAACACACTATTGCCTTTCTTTTTAAACTGCCGGACAAAAGAAAGTTTTGTCTGATGGTTGCTAAAATGAAACAAACAAGAAATAGTTACTAATAGCCGATGATGATGTATTTGATACGGGTAACAGAGTTGTTGTTTTTTGCCTTAAGTTTGCAGTGTTTCGGCGACTGTTCTAGTGACGTTTTTCTAAGATTTGTGTTTTTTGGTCAAATCCAATTTTCAAGTGTATATTTTGCTTTGTCCGACAGTTTAATTCCTACGAATGGTTAGAATATCACCCATTGAAAATTACAATTGCTCTATCATAGACATTCCTTTCATGTTCAAAGACAAAACGTTTTGTGTGTAAGTTAAAAATGGGTCAAGATTCTAGAAAAAATAAAACGTCAACGCGAGAGAATAAGCTGGCTCGACTATCCGAAATAGACTCCAACGGACGTAAAATGCAAAATAAAGATAAAAAATATATGTATATGAATGGATCCCTGAAAATAAAAAAAATGTTTAATTATTTTCAAGTAAAAGTGTATAAAATAGAGACGTTATCACAAAATACGAAACAACGAGTGGTTGGTTCATCGTTGAATTCTGCATGTTGATCATGACTGTTCGTGCAACTTCCACAGCAGAGATTACTCCATATCTCCTGTAGGAGTTGCGAGACTGCATCTCAACTTGATTCCATTACCGAATCAACAAGAGTCGGTTTTTTAATACAGATAATGAAAAAATAGGTAGTGTCGTGGGTCCTTGTTAAAAGTTTCATCAAATAAAGGCGACTATTCAACGAAAATAGAAATCATTGGCTCAGTAATTGTTGAAATAACGACAGAAGTAATTTTATCCCCCAAATCCCCCAATATGTTTAAAGGACCACAAACTAGATTTCAGTATTCCATGAGGAATATTTGCAAAGAAATTGTGTTTTTCACATATTCAACTGCGTGTAAACGCCACGCTGCTTCTCACTCCGAATTAACACACAGTCCATGCTATACAGTGCTTGTACCATATTTTCCAATGTTTTTTCACATGAACAATTGCCTTGCCTTTGCATGTGTTTGTGACGGGTGCCACAGGGGCAGGATACGCCCACCTTTTCGCGAACACCTGGTACTATAAATATTTGATAGTGTTTCATAAAACACATGATCATGATATTGTGGGAATCGTACAATCGACTCTGCTTTATGCTGTTGTTACAGTTGGATATGGAAATGAGTTTGTCGCTTTATTTACACAACAATTCAGTCAAGAAATCAGCGTTATAAGATTAGATTATTCTGTAAATCATGAATCAGAACTATAAATCTGCTCGTTATGAAAGTTTTGTACAACTGAGGTCAATAGACCTGGTTCAAGCCATTAACTGACAAATTTTACATTTTTAAGGACTAAAATAGAACAAAGGTGATTTTTTTCTAGGGTAAAATACAAATCTTAGGGGTAATCGTGTTCGTATATCTGACATGAAAGGAATCTCAGTGGAAGAGTTATAAGAGACTGACGAATCACTCATTACAGCCCTAACATCAGAGGACACGGTAATCCACATGGAGTCCTCTATCTAGTGACCTGTCTGTATCGTTGAAACACACCTTTGATCACAACGAACCACGACAAAATACCACAAATAGGATTATTATACATTAAACAAATATACTCCCTCTTGCGTTATAAGTATTTGGGTGTAAACATATGCCTTAAAAATGAAGAATTTTAAGTAAATATTTCATGATACTCTCTTCAATTCATCAACTATGATAATTTGATGTTATACATAAATCTTCGTGTTTTGTATATTTCAATTTGTAATAAAATGTTTGATTATCACAATGTAAGAAATAGTTTGTAAATTATCAACTGTGTATACGTGATTTTCATTTAATTATTCCCCTATCTGTTAGTTATAACTGTACACAAACGTTTATTCGTTTACTTCAAATAAAACGGAGAAATTCAGTTGAGGTATTAAACGTCAAAGCAAGAGAGTAACCAGTCTTGATTTTCCGTCGAAACATTTCAAATCATTTTCGATATGAAACATATGGAATGGAATTTCATCATAAATTTATACATTTGCCAGAAATTTAGTTCCAACAATTAAAATCATTTGATATACACTGAAACGATCAAATGAATGACACACACAGTAAAAGTTCTGTTATAACCTGCAGTTTGTTTACAGTAAAACACTTGAATGGAATTTGATTATATTTTTCATTTGATTGGTTTGAAATTAATCCAAATTATTAAACCATAATCCATAACTAAACAATACTCTGAAATGTCGTACATCATTCCAACAGAAATACAATTCCTGATTCTAAACGCACTCGTAGACATTATCCTTCAACCTCAAACCGCCGTGTCTGTTAATCCTAGAAACGTCTGTAATTGTCGTATGAAGAACTTGCTACTCTGTATTAAACACTCGTTCAGTTCTTGCTACTGAAAATGAATTCCCAAACGAACATGACCGAGTTTCCCGACTTAGAGATCAATGACGTCATTGACGGCGGTGTTCTTGTTACGGAGACAGGTCTAAGTCATTCCGTGTTTATGTGATGAAATATTCATAGCTCGCTGTTCACCATCTCTGGTCACGTGACACAACTGTTGTTGTACAAGTAGCGGCGTGGCGGAAGAAGGAACAATACACACTGACAACTTGTCTTTTGTGTGTACCAATTGATAATCAATTTTTCTTGACACGATTATTTACAAGTAGATTACACACAGAAGAAATCCATTTATGTGTTCAACTTTTTATGCATATTGTATGTGAAAGTAATGAATGCCAGTGACATCTTTAAAAATAATATAAACATTTACTTGTATGAAGATAATATAAACATATCAGTTTTGTCATTTGATCACATTATTTTTAATTGATTACATATCATTTCATAAGGGATTTATTTAATTTACCAATCTAAAGAAAAGGGTGAAGTTACGTATTCAGAGATACTACAAGAAAACGAACACAGATAAGGGGGCGATGGGGTATAGCTGGAATATTTCCAAAAGCGGCGTAAAACCATATTCAATCACTAATTGTCATACGCAAGGTATTCCAGTCAAAATGGTTACACAGTGTCTCTAAGTAGCATACAGTAAACTACGGTTATAACGAACTCAAAGGGACCACTAATTTTAATTCGTTATAACCGTAGTTCCATTATAAGCATATATGCACAGCAAATGGACGGGACTCAAAACCAGTTCGTTATATCCGGCAGTTTGTTATATCCGGCAGTTCGTTGTAAGGGTGTTCGCTATAAACGTAGTTTACTGTACTTGCATATAGTATACAATTGTCGGAACACTACAGTCTGTACCATT